CTGGGCGCGAAACAATTAAAAACGTTACGCCCGATCGCTCTCCAACGTTCTCGTCCCTCTACCCCTTCTCTTTCTCTCTCTCTCTCTCTCTCTCTCTCTCTCTCTCTCTCTCTCTCTCTCTCTCGTCCTTTCTGTGCTTCCTACCCTTTTATACCTTTTTCTCTCTCCCTCAGCTCTTACCCTATCCATCATATATCCCGGGATGTACATACACACAACCATCCCGTGGTCATATTCACCCTTTTCACAAAAACACATGAACGCTATAAAGCGCTACTCTCACGCATACATATACATACAGATATGTACGCGCACGCACACATACAGAGAGAGAGAGAGAGAGAGAGAGAGAGAGAGTGAGGGAGGGGGAGGGGGGAAGGGCGGCAGGCTTGGAAATAAAAGGGAATCGCGACGATTTAATGACTGATCGGGCTGTTGCTCGCTGTTGCTGCCGTGCAGGCTGAAGAGCTCTTTCTCCCGGCCCGCACGTCTCGCGTCTCTCTCTCTTTTCTTCTCTCTTTCTCTATTTTCGTGTTTGATAAGGAACTTGCCTTTTCTTCGAACTCTCGTACCTCAGCCCTTGATTTGGCCGGGTCATTTTTGCGCGACAGATCGAACGCTGCTATTTTCTGAGCGTATCGACACGTAATAATGAGAGTCTTTTTTTCAGTGCTTGGATCCCGTTTTGGGGCTTGAGTCTACAAACTGCTGCTGCTGTTGCGCGCAGTGCGCTCTCTTGCTCTCTTTCTACATATATTATAAATTTAATGCATTTATACATTAACTGCAAGTATATACAAAATTCTTGAACCATAAAAGCTAAATTATATATTAGATTAGATAATAGAAAAACTTTCGTAAATTATTCTTATATACAGCTGTAATTTAATAGCTTCCCGAAATTAACATCAATCATAAAAACCGTTCATCAAACGCATGAGCGACGAAAGAAAGAGAAAGCGTTTCCGAGTTTCACGTACACCCTCCGCAGTTATAGTTTACGAGCTTATACGAACAATAGGAACTGATAATTTATAGCCTCCGTCTCTCTCGCATAATTTTGAGATCCGAAACTGGCGAACGTAAAATTTGTATACTAGAAGATTCTGTTAAGGCATTCGAGAAAATAGCACAGAAATTATGAACAAAAATAAAGAACTGTCTGTAAAACAGCTGAATCAATATCTGGACACTTTTTAACGCATGGCTAAATGTCCAGAGATGATTATATTTCAATTTTTTTCATGTTGACTTCTTTCTCGATATTGGAGTAAAGAAATAACAACGAGATACGAGATAGCTGATTTCCTCTGCAAGCTGCAGAAAAATCTAACGCTCCAAAATGAAATCGTTGTAGAAACGTACCCCTTCAATCTTAAATCTTAAATCTTGTACCAGAAGTAGGAGGAAAAAAGATTTGTATCGAGAAGCGTTGCGAAATTCGATCGTTGGTTAGGCTCGTTTCGCCTAAGCCTAATTTATAGGGATGTTTCGTGTCCTCCACAGTTGCCCCGCAGGCTGTGTCCTATTACTCCTATTCTCTATTATGCGCCGCCGCCGCGCCGTCTCGTAGGCCGAAGCTTCTCCCAATATCTATGTGCCATTCTAAATTATTCGGTATTGTCCTCGCATGATTCCATTGTCCGCGTCTGTCTCCACCGTGTGCTGATACGCCATGCCGCCGCAGGTTAGGGCGTAGACCTACAACAACACCCGCCGTCGTCGCCGCTAGTTGTGCGCGCGTGTATCTGCTTCGAGTGCATCTTGTCATCGTCGGTCAAGAGAGAACCAGAGAGATCCGCGTGCGAGCTTCACTCGTATGTACATCGTCAAGCACGTCTAATTAATCGCTATTTCTGAGCCACCACGATAAGAATGTGTGCAGGGTTGACGGAGCTGTCTGTGACAAGTATGTACTGTGCATGATCGGTGATCCGCGTGCACGATCAAACGTGATCGTTTTTCTTTTTAACGTTAAAAGTTGTTTATTGTAACTTATTGTAAAGATAACTATCAAATTGATAAATTAATGCAGGAGACAAATGTGTGCCGTGGTCGATAAGATGAAAGAATCGAAAGAGAAACAAAATGATAAAGTTTTAAATGACAATTAAATTTGTAATTATTTTCTAATTAAATAGTGAAAAAAATAAAATAATGTATTGTAATTATTTGTAATATAAATAATTATATTTCTCGTTATAACGTTTTCCCAAAAAGTTTAATATTATACTATATAGTATATTTGCATTCGGTCTGACACAAGTTAGAAATAATATACATTATAAAATTTAATCTAACAATAATTTCAAACAAGGTCGATCATATATGTATATTTCCCGAATAGGATCGGGAAATTCCAGGTTCAGATCTTGACTGACATGAGTAATACTTTTCGCAATAAGTTTTTTACAATATTCCAGAATGCTTGTAGCACCATCATCGAATTGAAAATTAATTTAATATGTGATATTATTTTAGCTTTAAGTTGTAATTGCGCTTTTAAAGATCGACAGTAATCGGCGCGCAATTAACAGTATAGCTGAATTTTAAATATTTGAAGAAAAATTGAAGATCTCGGACAAGCAATATCTAACCTCGACCGAATTTGGTTCTTTCCCCCTTAAAATTTAGTGTAGTTACCGACATGAGGAAAGATTAGTCATCAGTAAAATTTTCATCGGTCCTTCTCTCTCTCCCTTTCTCAACGTTCTTCTCTGCACCTTATTGTTTGTAAAAAACATGAAGTTAAGTTCCGGCGACATTTCTTCATCAAATACAGTCATCGACAGGTATATATTCAGCCTGATGTCACGGCGCTTCTCTATTCCGACGCAACGAATTTTATTAACTTCTCGCGTATCAAAATACATGCTAGGTACACGGAGAGAATTTTTTTTTAAATTTACCCTGCAAATCATGCGTGATTTGGTTAATTGTGGGACAATATAGTATTTAGGAAAATTTTACTGTGCACTACAATAAATTTGACAGTAGTAAAATACAGTAAAATTTATTGTAGTGCACAGCAAAATTTGCCTAAATATTATATTGTCCCACAATTAACATGATTTGCAGAGTAAATTTAAAAAAAAAAATTCTCTCCGTGTATATGTATATGGTTGCCCCGCGTCGGAAGATATCTAAGAAAAGTTAGATCAAAACAGGAGAGATTACAATAAATTGCACACACACCCTTCTTGAAATACAAGACAAGTATAAGGGAGATGAGGAAAGAGGAGAGAGAGATTCCTGTTCGCGATACTGTGTTCCCCAGTATTGAGTCACGTTACTTCCCATCCCGTCCAAAGGGCGGGGACACAGCGTCTCATTTTTCTCACCTTTCCCGTCATTGATTGAAGACAGGCACTTTCGTAAGCTGGAGCTTAGACTACTAGGGAACACTTTGAAAAAACTCGTACAAGATATCCGAAATTTTTCACGATATTATTTTTATTTACAAATTATTGGATCAAATTCATGTATATAGTTTACGACTCAAGAACATTGACGAGCTGTAACAGCATTTTAACGACATTGCCTAAAACATCTTGTTGTGTATGTTAAAAAAGATACAGCACAGATACTTGACACCTTCAAGGTGATCCGACAGATATGCATTTGGTTACTCCATCACCAGACTTTACGAAGGTTACAAATAAAAGGGATAGGAATTTCAACGTCGTGTGAGATGACACGTAGGTACGTCGAAAGCCAGAGGGGTTGATACCGAGGGGTGATGAAAGAATGATATTTTAATAACGGTCTGTGTGCCTGTAATATCTACCGGCGATTTCTACGGGAGTGAAGCCTAAGCGCGTGTGTGTGCAACACTTATACAAACGTATCTCAGGGACACGTTGAGGGTTTAAGAATCCTCTTGCTGCGCCAGCAGCTACATTAACGTGGGCTCTCGATATTGCATTCCTTTCCTTTGACGTCCTCGGATGTCAATTATTAATGTTATTATCTAGATGCCACGCCGGAGGCGGGGCAAAGAGCTGTATCCTGCTGCGGAATTTTCCCTCGGTATCCTGCGAGGAACGTCACTCTTTCGCGCTTAAAAAAGAAAAAATATGTGTGCATACACATATATCTATAATGTTATTCAGTGTCGTCGAAATAAATCGATTAAATGAGGCGAAATTAATTAGCGATAATTAAGGCGAATTATAAATATTAATCACAAACTTTAGCTAAAGAGTAAGTTATAAGTATAAGAAGAAATTTTTGCCAGCAGAAGGAGAATATTATTTAGCGAAAATATTTTTAATCAATTGTCGTCAGATCAGAATTTTCTCGCAGAAGAAAAAGTCTGACACAAAACAAATTGAAACAAAAATGTGTATATTGTAATTAAAATTAACTAATTGCTGCCGATCGACAAATCGCATGTTCAGCGATCCACGTAATCGAGAAAATCCAGATAATCTACTAAATGCAGAAATAGCAGTTAAGAGCACGATAAAGACTCTCGTGGTTAAACGGGCACGCAAAGGGCGCGCTCGTATATGAGTATAAGAGGGCGGGTTAAGGGGGTGATAAGGGGGTGAAGAGAGAGAAACCGTTCGCGTATAATCGCTCTGGCTACATTTCCCCTGGCCTATCAATCTCTCCCTTGCTAATAAACGAACGGTTAAACTTTTTAACGAGCGGTCAGAGAGACTTTCACCTTCTCCTAAGCGCGACCAACCCAACGGGATTCTTTCATGCATTGCCGACGCCTTAATAGTACCTACGTCGTGCACGTGCATACGCGCGTGCTGTAACGACGCCCTCGAGAGTTCTGTATCCTGCTTTACTTTTATTAGTATTGCCAAAGATACTTTTAGACTGTGCGCGCACACGCGCACATATGTTGTGTTATTTCCTACTTATAATATATTTCCAACAAATCGCAATTTTTTATTGCAGAAAGACCAAGAAGAATCTAGCATAGTAGAACAGCGATATACTCGCTCTTAGGATTTTGTTACTTTGCTAAAGCTTTTCAAGAAAAGATTCCGCGTTCTATTTCAGGCTTGAAGCGACCTAGGATCTCCGAAAATACGACGATTTTGTCGACCAGCGATACAGGCAATGAGGATGATCGTGATTCTGATTCGGGTGGCGAATTACGAACCGATCGTTCATTAGGTAAAACTGTTAAATATATTTTTTTTATCTTTTTCTTACTACGAAGTCTCTCAAGGTACACAAAGATGTAGATAAAATTAAATAAAAGATATAAATAAAATTATTTAAGAATTTTTACTCGCAGATTCACGTTATGTACGATAAGCAATGTACGTTACACAACATGATAGTATAATAATTACAACAAAATGTTAAATGCTTATCACGCAAGTGTATCGAATTCCTAATACTTATTGTTAGTAAAAATTATACATGATAAACGTTAGTAATACTGACTTGCTTCTATTCGGATATTTACTAACTGCAATAATAATTGCGATCTCAGTATTCCGATTATTCGAATCAATTTCGAACCATTAAATTCTTTATATAAAGTTCCTCGATGAAGTGACAAATATTACAGTGGTGTCGACGTCGTCAGGAATACCGGAATCCGAAGCGACGGCGAGAAAGCGCACTAATAGCCTGAACGATTCCGAGGAGGGCAGTCCGGAACCGGGGTCGCAGAGTCCGACGCATACTCCACCGCTGACACCCGCCTTAACACCGCAAAGGGAGGACACCCCTGCGCCAGAAAATCTCAGCCTACGGAAAAGTGGCAGTCCACCGCTAACGCAACAGACTTTGCAACCGGTGGATCTGGTTCAACCTAGACCTAGTCCCCCGCTACCCCCGTTAGCTGTAAGAGTTTTGCCATTTTAGATCTTTTGTTAGATCTGTAAGAAAACGATAAACAATGAGTTGTATAATTGGGAGAATGAAAATTATATAATAGCGATACTCAAGTCTTTATAAATATCTTCACAATTTTTATAATATGTATCTCTCTCTCTCTCTCTCTCTCTCTCTCCCTCTCCCCTTCTCTTCTATTATCTATTGTTTTTTATACAACTTATTAATGTAAAGTTAACAAAAAGAGGCTATCTTTATAATTTAGTAACGTATCGAGATTATTGAGTAAAAGTTTTAGTTCTCTTTGCAGTTTTAATTGTACTTGCAATTGAGAGTAATCTTTAAACTCTGTTTAAAAATAAAATATAAAGATTATGTATGTATATATACATATATGTATATATTTTTTGTAATAATTGTAATATATATAGAATCGTCACAGAAATATTGCAATGAATAAGATTCTCTTTAGAAAAGGCGATACATTTACTTGCGTCGCGGCGTGACATCAAAGGAGGAAAAAAGTTTATTCGAAGATGCAAAATGATAGGCCGTCGCCGCATACGGGCGATAATTCTCAAACGAAAAATACGCTCAATTGCAGGCCACGACGACGGTGCACTTCCCTCCTTATGCACCTCTCTACGGACCGACGGCGAGCTCGCTAGCGTATTGCTCGCCGGCGCTCTATCAACATCAGCACCATCATCACATTCCCGAACCGCGGGAGATTCAGATGCAGATGCAAATGCAGAATATTCAACAGACATGCGGACTGCAGTTGCAGCAGCAGCAGCAGCAGCAGCAGCAACAGCAGCAGCAACAACGTTCACCGGTAGACCTTCTGCTGCGTGTATTCCCTGGAAGACGTCGCGCCGATGTCGAAGCGCTTCTTCATCGTTGCAAAGGTAAGATTCCTTAATTTTTCTCAAGAGATTTTTTAAATTAATCATACACAAGACAAAATTATTTCGAAAACATTATGATCGACAGTATTGTTGTTTAATTGTTAGAAAATTCTTATAATTTGATTCATGTTTATTTGAAAGAATATATAACTATACATTTGGTCGTTCGAAAGGAGTTGAACCGCGAAAAAAGTTTTCACAATTTCGTTACGAGAAAATTGTATGCGTTTGCGACTAAAATTATATTTATTAGTTATATAATTTTTTAATTATTATTCATTTGCAAGGTGATACGATATTTGTTATCATTTTATCATTTGATAGACTGCATCTTTTATAAAGTTATTGTCATTATTAACATCACAAGTGTGATTGCAAATTTTCCATCTGGATCTAATGTCTTCTTTGCCAGATTTCTCTTCTCTCTTCTCACAGTGATGTATTATCACTTCATCGTGATTATATATTTCGTAATAATTAAATCGTAAGTCATCGTTATAGTGAAAAGTCATAACTTTTGCCGCGGGCACGCTCTGTCGAAAAGACAAAAGAGAATTTGCCTATGTGTCGCAGGCGACGTGGTGTCTGCCATGGAGGTGCTGGTCTGCGAGGACAATCTGCAGCCCAAGTCGGCGTTTTCGCCGCTGGCGGGCGCCCTGGCATCGGCCGCCGTGGCGTCCGCCGCGTCCGTCTCGGCGGCGGCTTACGCGAGCCGCGCTGCGTATTGCACCACCCCGATACCGTCGACGCGGCACCGGTTCCTGGCCGCGCCTTACACCGGTACCGGTTACCTGCCCACTGTCATCAAACCGCCCAACCAGAGTCTGCATGCCAATGGTACTGGCGACGCCTATCGGGAGACCAGTCCCGATGATGCCAGCGATAAGACCAGTTACTCCGAGTGACCTGACGAAAATTACGCCGTCACTTGGTCGTACTCTTCGATAGTCCCTTAATGAACTCTTTTCTTTCGTTTGTGTATGCTTTGTTTGCGCCCCGAATAATAGGCACGCAAAGTGAAATTGTTCTTAAGGAATTATTCTAATCAGTTTCTTGACGCATCATCAGCTGTTCAAAGCTACAAAGGATTAGTCCAAATTCTAATCCGACCATAATAATGCAACGTTATTAAAGTGATCGTTTTAAGATCGATTTCGTTTGATTGGAAATTACATATTCAGGCAGAATCAACAATATTTATCGAGATCTTTATCAGTTCCGATCATCGGCTATTCAATATATAATATATTCTTCGAGCATGTCGTGTCTCTTATGATTCTTCTCGTTGTTGACTTTGAATCTTCTGACACTATTATTTGCATAATTTGGTTTAGAAATACGCAATTTAGGCGTAATCTTTTAACGATGAGAACAATATCTTAAATACATCTATACTGACAATGAGTGAGAGAGATCCTTTCTCAAATTTTTTTTTATTTGTTTTTAAATCTTTATTTCTCCGAATATGACGATTTTAAATTTAAAGACTGGCCATTCTTACGCCAATGAAAATATAATTTTGATAATTAACAAAATATGCCACAGAAAAGCACTGTTTCTTTCACGGAAAGAAACTGATGAAAATGTCCCAAGAAAAAAACCTATCAAAGAATCGAATTTATTCTTTATCGACATTTGTAGGGTATGAAAACCTAATGATGATGCGATGAAACTCAATTCCACTAGACAATAAAAGGATAAAAACTGTTGTCTCCAAAGAAAGATGTCAAGAGCGTCTCGAGAATGTCAAAATATTGAAGATTGAGAGTATCTGACAATCCGAGAGTATTTGATTTTCATATTTGTACACATGTACATCTCTCGCGCGAAAGCTAACCAAACGCTTAATCAGATATATGCGTTAATCATCCATCGACTCTAAATTATAATAAATTATAATGACGAAATTCACAGTGCGACGCGACGCGACACAACTCGACGCACAAAAGTAATGTACGAAGGAAGAAGTCAAAAAATAATTAAATAAACGGCTGATTCGTCTCTAGAGTATACTTTATACATGTGTAGATAAAGACTATATAGATATGTGTGTTTAGGTAACAAGTTCGACGAATATATCAGCCAAATAGAGAGGAAGGTGAATCTGTAAATACGATGCTATATAGTTAATTACTAATTAATCTCGACATTTTTGCCGGAATATATTAAACGTGTTATACGAGCGTTCACGTGTAATATATGCACACACACACACACACACACACACACACACACACATACATATATACATATATACATACATGTATACATACACATGAGTGTTGCCTGTAAGTATAACGCCTGCAAGATATCTAGATTGGTCGCTAGCGACCGAAAACATCATCTATTGTAGTTACCAAATAATATGTTACTCGAAGAAAAGTGTATAGAAACCGTAAATACATATACAATAAACAAGATATTGATACTCTATATATATATACATATATACATACAATATACGTCAATTCACTTTTAAATCCTTCTCCATTAAATTAATTGTTTGTAAAATAATTTTTAATTTCGTAATTTAATGAATAAATAATTAGATGCATGCCAAACCTAACCTTTTCTTAAAAGATGCTAATTTCGATTCTCATTAATCTAAGTATTATACATTATGGTAATATATCTTTAATTTGAATGCAGATATAGTTAGGTAATGTTGAGGTTTTCCAGCAATCTTGTTTCTTATAATAAAATTAATAATTTAAAATTTGTTTATATTTTTACGTAAACTAATTAATTCTTAAGAATATTTTTTACAAGTTTTATAATCCATATACTAATCTATATTAATCGAGATGTGATTTTCTGCGAATATACCTACAATGATTAGCCTCTGTAAAGGTAATTTGTCGTGACGGAGAAACGAGACACGCGGCTCTCTGCAGATACACGAGATAAAGAATGACGACTAATTTTACAAAAGACAGTTTTCCGGCTGAATGAAAATTTTACTGCATCCTTCGACAAACCAAAGGAAAAGGTATCGGATGACAAACACCATTCGCAGGTGAAGAAATGGGATACGCGACGCTGTTGTATTCCCAAAATCGTTTCATGGTCGATCAATCCCAAATCGCGCTGCCCTTTTTCAATAAATTGATCTCGGTTTCAATAATATCGGCGAATAATCAATTCTGCCGCTCAATTTCGGACACGCAAATACAGAATTGCAGAAAGTAAATTATCAAATTTTTCCCACACTTTGTATACGCACATCTTCGTAAAAGCCTTCGTAGTCTACGTCGAGAAATTTTTAAAATTTCATATTTCGAGCTTAAATTTGTGCATTATAATTTTTATACGTAAATAGGAGGAGGAAAAATGATTTATTTATAAGTAAAATAAACTTGATTGTAAAATATATTTAGAGATACACGACACAACAGACCTAAATAATAAACTGCAATCGCTTTATTCAATTAATATCTCTTGAATGATTTTGACGGTAGAGAATAAATGATCCTTATCATAGAAAATTGGACAATTACGTCGGTGGGGTGTACCGACAGACTTAGGTACACCTCACTATCGATAGAATACCAATAATCGACTGGCCTCTACAAGGCGCATATACGATAGGTCGATGCCTGAACACGCGCCCAGCGTTATATATCCGGCAATTTGTGCCCGCGTGCGCGGTGGATACGGGCATTATAATGCTCCGGTTATTATTTACGAGGCATGGCCGCCTGGTTTTCCAGGGGTGGCAATATATTGACACCCCGCAGAGTTTCTTCCTTTGGCTACTGGTTACCATCCATAATGGAGTCCATAATAGCACCCTCCTCCCTTCTCACCCTCCGTGCCTTTACTTCTGCCGCGACCGTTTAATCCGCAGTCATAGTGCAACAATCCCTTTTCTTCTTTACGTCTCGCGTCTGCATCGAGGAATTTTAAGCCACCGAGTGAGAAAAGGGGTTGTTAGAGCTGGAAATCGATCCGATTGTTGCGAAATGAAGAGCACTGCATAATTATAAAAGCAAAATAATTTAAGATTCTCTAGAGAAGTGCCGAGGTGCCGAAATTAGTGTTCAAATTATGTTCGTGTCAAGATAGATTTTCGGATAGTTATATCAATTTGTCTCAATCCCATTTTATCACTCGAGAAAATTTAGAAAAAATCAAGGCTCTAGAGTGAAACCAAATTAAATTACTCACTTTCTTTATAATCTTTCAAATAAAAATTACTTTAATGTTAACTCTGTAATTTGATGAAGAATTTGTTTCCATTTTATCTAAATAACGCGTATTATGATTAACTTTATTATATCTTAAATTATAAAGTGATATTTAAAGTTGTAATTTCAAACGTTTTTCACACTTGGTTTTCACACGTGATTCATCGAATTTTCTTGTTCTTTCACAAATTAAAATAAAGTTGAGCTGTACATAGTGTACTCACACACACACACAGATACACACACTAGATAGTAAAAATGCTTGTTAATTTCTATATATATATATATATATATATGTGATAAGTATCTCAATATCATATTGTCTGATTGAAATTAACAAGCATTTATTTATATATGTATGTATATATATATATATATATATATATATATATATACACATCCGAAAACAATTTTACAGCGAGTATAGTGAGAATGATTCGTTGAGAAATGATACGACGACGTTACATAATTCCATGAGAATTTTTACTTCCATGACTTTTTCTTTCCCGGTTTTTTTTTCTTTTTTTATTGGCCAATGAATATAGCTAACCGAATAACGAGTCAGATGGCTTTTAACATTTTTTCGACTTCCATCAATATTTGCTCTCTCGCTCGCTATTTCTCTTCGTCTCTTCTCTGTCTCTTCGTCTGTATGGGAACCGAGAGAAGTTCTTTTACCTTATGTGGGTGCATACGCACACCCATACGCATGTTTTGTGGCTACACATTGGCCCGCTTAAATATACATACGTACGAGTGCATGGAAGCCAATCGAAGAGAGATCTGTTGGGGTCTGTCTCTTCGGGTCGTGCGCGGAAGAGATAGAATAAAGTGTTGCCGAACATCGGCAAATATGGCGCCGTGTTTGCTCGCTCCAAGGAATCATCGGTTTCGGTGGTATCATCGATCTATGCATATGTGTGATTTAATGTGGGTGAAGGATGACAACGGTAATGGAGATCGGATGTCTTTTATGCCCCGGTAATTCTAGTCATTTAATAACTCTAAGAAAAGAATACATATAATCGATTATATTCTTTGCAATTCAGAATAATATATACAAAAATTGTTTCATATATTACGAATTTTCTTGCATTATTAGCTTTATCTGACTGAATTCATTTTTTACTATATAAGATGATAAGGACATTAATGATTTACAATTCAGTATTTAAAAATATTTTGTCTTTGCTTTTACCACGACAATATCTATTTCGTTTCTCAGCTGTTTGTTATCTTGTTCAGCGTACGACAGAATCAGTCGGGAGAATAGAGATCGAGAATGAAGTAATAGAGTCTGGAGCGGGGAGGGGGAGGGGGCCGTCCCGCACCGCGCTGGTGCAAATCAAGGCCCCCTTCCTTCCTCTGAGGGACGTCGCGAAACAATTCCGAACTGAATAATATTAGTATCTAACAATAGACGTGCTAAATTGAAATACAGAGAGCACCATGCTGTTTCGCGAGCTCGCGCGCCGCCCTGCATTCTCCGCGCCGCGCCGCGCCGTGCTGTTATAAATTTCGTTCCTATGTATAGGTGTATCGTATGTACGTATATACGTCAAAGTCGAGGTGCACCTAGGGAAAGGACGTAGCGCGGCTGTATTCTCTTCGCGTTCGAGTGTTAGTTTTCCGTGACGATGGCAAGGATCACGGTTGCGCGCGCTGCGATACCAAGCTGCACAAGGCGAGAAATAGTATGCAAATGAAATATTAATTAA